TGTATAATTTTGTGGTTATATTGTGTCTCTGGTGGTTTGGTTTTTGCATTGTCTCACATTTGGAGTAAAGGTGAATCTTTGTGACATAATGTTTAAGTAGCGACTTGGTGTTTGTGTAGCAATACTTTGTTTATGTTGTTAAGTGGTATTTGTGCACTAATATTGGTTGTAGTAAAGTGTGTTGATATAATGATACAGTCTGCATGTCGCGACTTGAGATTTGTGTAATAACGCAGTTTAATAGTAGTGATGTGGTTGTAGTGACCTGGTGTGGGTGGGGTGATGATGCGGGTGTGGATACATTGAAACATGCTGGAGTAGATCTGCACCTTAAAGGTTTTTTCAGCCATACAATAAAAAGTTTAAAGCCTAATTCTCTGAGCAATAAAACCCTTACAGAATGAATGAGGTAGTTAGAAAGTTTACTCAGGGACTATTAACTTTACGTGCATCACAGTTCCCCTGCAGAGCTTTTTAATCACCTTCAGATGCATCACAGCACGTTCATTTAGCCTCGTCGGGCTTCAGCTGTTTCAGGGAAATGTTTTTAACATTCTTTTGTGAGGATTGCCCCCGGAAATTCTCCCAACGTGTGTCCGTTTGGATTTGGCTGAAGCTGCCGGTGAGGTATGGGGTGTTATGTCAGATAAAGTTAGTTTACGTCGACTGTTTGACTTTGATGTTTACAATAAACCGATAAAAGATGATATGTGGTGTTTCTGTCTCCAGCTTCTTCAGCTGCTTCCGTGACAGTGTCCGATGAGACGGAGCGAACCATGAGAGCTTCATGGACTCCAGCTCCAGGAGATGTGGTCAACTACCGTCTAAAGTACGTTCCTACTGATGGAGGCAAGGAGGTGGTCCTGAAGATCCCAGGAAGGACCACCTCTACCATCCTGAAGCGCCTGCAGCCTTTAACCTCCTACAGCATCACTGTTCTGCCCATCTACAAGCGCGGGGAAGGAAAACCAAGGCAAGGAGTAGGAACGACACGTACGTTGGTCCATGATTCAACCTGCACAGAGACATACTCATATGAGACACTTTAGAGACATAGCCACTTGAGACTCTATAAAGATATGTCCATCTCAGACACT